GCCGATGATCCGACTTCACCTCATAGACCGACCAATGTGATGTGTTGCGTAGACCTACCACCTGATCATAGCGGTGAAGTAAAACCTGCAGAGCTTGATGAAAACGTTCAGTGGGTATGGATGTGAAGAAACCGGAGAGGTCCTGTGATACCAACTGTATATATTCCGTGGGGTCCTCATGCAATAGAGCATCCCAAAGCTGCTGTACTAGCTCCTGAACTGAAGCTGGGACGTCTGGAAAGGTGACCTTGGTGAGCTCAAAGATAAGGGCGCCGAAGACCGTGAGGAGGGGTGCTGCCCATGTGCGGAAGAAGGAAATGATTGGTCTCGCTTTGAGCCAAGTCTTTAGTCGGTTTGGGAAGAATGCGAGCCGTGGGCAAAGGTGCATGAAGTCGAAGTCCCCATGCATGGCGGTGTTGTAGTCGAGCAGGTACCATGGTGACAACTTCGGCGCGAAAAGATGCCGCAGACTCACGGCGCAGTGCAAAGACTTCACCTGTGCAAAAGGCCTTGTGCATCAGCATGGAAAACAACGATGGGCAGATCACATGAGCACGCGAAGGGAAGTGATCCGCTGGAATTACAACCCACGATGACAGGGAGCGAGCGGTGCGTTGCAATGACACGGAGGTCCAGTGAGTACGGTCTTGGACATTGGAGCGATGTTCAGCAAACAACTCCGTCAGAACAGGTTGATAGTCAGTAGAGAAGCTGGATCTTTGTACATGCCATCGGCGAGCCAGCTTACGAAGCTGCATGTCAAAACGTTGTTGAAGTTTGTTGACATCACCAAAATACTAATCCTTCATGGATGCTGCCATGATGTCAGAGTCAATGTCAGCGTTGATGCGTGAAAACTCATCCAAAATCACCGCATGCGAATGTGCGCGAGAAGTGGTGCGGTCGTCCATGTCAATGCAGCGACACGGGAACGACGTATCCGGAGTCCATCTTCGCTGCCACTGCGGTAGTTGTAGATCCGGTCTCCCAAGGTGGCACTGCGAGTTTCCACAACCCGGATCTTCGGAAGAAATAAGGAAGGAAAGAGGTCACGGTGAGATGCCACCCAACGCTGCAACCAGGTTCCAAGCTGAGCTTTCCAGTCTCGAACATGTAAAGGTGAAAGAAGTAGTTTTGTCATGGTAGTTGGTACCTGGAGTTGTCGCTTACGCAAGACCTGGGCAAGAAGCTTCTGAGCCTTGGAGCGAAAAGGTTCGTTGACAAAGGTGGAAAGTCGCAGGAAATAGTAGAGTTGGGTGGAAGGGAAGGCTGCCGACAAAAGGTCGCGCATGGTTTGAAACGACGCACCAGTGTTAGATCCCAACCGATACAGAGTAGAATAAATTCTTGGATGTCATCCAGCATCTCTGGCCGCAGTTGACGATGTAGATCAGGATGTAGTCGACGCCGCAACCGCTTGTGAAGGGATGATGACGTAGGCGAGGATAACGAATGACGACGAAAGTCAACCAGATGTTCACGGAAACCAATTTTCCGAAGAAGTCTGTGTACCCAGGGTGCATTTAAATGCGGGCGTAGCATGTACTGCCATTTGCTTTCCTGGATCCAAACCGAGGAAGTAGGAAGTTTGATCTCAACTGGAATCGCACAGAAAAGCCAGTCGTTGTTGGATCGCTTCCAATAGTGAAGCGCAGGTTCAAAGAAGGCATGTTGTCCCCGCAGAAGTTGTAGATATTTGCGGCAACGGGAGTGTTCTCTGCGAAGAACATCCTGCTCAGTAGCACCAATGTAGTATGGACTATGCCACGGTGAGAGTCTGAGGTAGACGCAAGGCTGTTGATGGTGGCTCGGATCTTGAATGAAGTTATACAGGTCCGGAAAGCGAGACCGTTGGGATTTGAGGTGTTTCATATCAGCGAAGGTGGAGTGCATGACTTCACACAGCAATGACGTCTTGTAGAAGTGAAGGACCTCAAAGAACGGTGGTATGTACCCATGGTGCTGTGAAATGAGACGCTGCAAGAAGCAAATCAGCAGATACGAAGTGATCCGACATCTGTGGAGCTCATATCTGTTGGCAACTGCATGACGAGTACGTGACATGGAACACATCGGAATTTGAAGTGCAATCCGAACCAGGGTGAGCACTTCAAGGATGAGGTCCAACTGAGGTAAATGCTGAATCGATTCATACTCACCCGGAGGTACCGTTGGTAGTTGAAGTCCAGGGAAGCAGTACCGCCAGCACGCGGAGAAAAACGTTAATGTGTCCAGAAAAGTAGCCAAGGAGTGCCATTGTGCAACGTCCTCAAATATCCCGCTGCGCTGAAGCTCAGTCCACATGATGAATGTCTAACCAAGTGCAGCTACAAGGTGGCGGCGACACGCATTCAAGTGTGGCAACAAGTAACAAGCAACTCACAAGACAAGACAAGCAACTCACAAGTCATGACAAGCCCCAAGTTAAGCGCAGACAAGTTTTCAAACGCACATCACAACGCCGCACAGTCGCCACTCCGGGCTCAGATTTGAAAGGCAGACACATTTCATCCGGTGAGAAGTCGGGCCGCCACAATGAGGAGGCACAGCGCTTTGTCCCCGCAAAGGGGCCATTCAAGCAAACGTAGGGGCATCACCTTTTGGCAAACGTTGACGCGCCTGCAAGAGCTGAGCCGCCATGGGTTCCAAAGACTTGTTGCCGTTGAGACGGGACGGGCGGTTAGCCCACTTGATCAGCGATGGCACGGTAGTAGTAGTAGGAGCCTGCTTGAAGTATAATCGTGGCTGATCACTGGTCCAGGTGTAGTGCTTGATGATGTGTTCCGGCGTCTGCGCATGGTGAGCAACTGAGGTGTTGCTTGTTTGGAAGGCGGGGAAGACAGTCCGTGAAGAGATTGGATAATCCGAGGCTGCTGCTGAGATGGGACATCAAATGACCTGCCGTCAAGGGCCGCCGCACTTACGGTGGGCAGCGAGCTGGCAGGCGTCGAAGACTGTGAGTGATTGACCGGAGGCGGCGTGACCAGCTCTGCATCATCTTTCTGAGATGGCATCGTAGAAGGAGGCGACGTTCGCTGTGACGCCGAGTACTGTGCCTGGAGCAACTCGTCACCTCATTGGAAATTGTTGTACTTCTTGAGCATCTCATCTTCTTGAGCATGGGGTGTAAGAGTCTTATGATGTTGCTGAAGAAACTGAAGCACCAGATTGTCCAAGTGATCGTGAACCTTGATCCGCTGATTGAAGTCGTCAATGTTAAGTCCCAGCGAATTGGCTAAGTCCTTTTCCAAGGTAAGCAGGTTGAGTGGTTGAGATCGACGGAGCAACTTCGAACAGGTACTCCAAAGCAGGGCCTCGGTGCGGGTACGAAATCCCTCCCACGTCACGAATCTCCCGTGAACAAATGGCCTCAGCAGCCAGTTAGAGATGCCACCGTGAATGACCTGAACCAGGCGAACATCCCGGATGTCCATGCCCGACATATCCCGTTGCGTATTGTGTGGGGTGTTGGCAACCGTCATGGGCAGGCTGAAGGAGTAGAGCTGGTTCATGTCCAACATGCCGTCACCAGGTTGCCACTCTTCCGATGGAGTAAGCCATGCTTTCTGAGGCTGCACTGGCAGCGTGGCTGGATAGCCAGGCGCTGTCGTTGTTTGGGAAGGATGAACTTCTGCGTGGCCAGGAGTAGCATCATCGACTTCACGGTCTTCGCCGGTGTAGGTTCAGGAGGGAACGGCATCATGTAGTTGACCGGAGGGTGCTGATAGAGCTGCGATGAGGAGGGATTCGGCTGGTAGTTGCTCTGCGTCATTGGAAAGGCATTGGGTGCGTTGTAGCTCGGATTGTGTTGCCAGGAGATCAGGTTGTTCCAATCCATGCCGTCCGAGACCAAGGTGTCGTCCTGATCACGTCTGCGCGCTTTACGAGGAGGTGAAGATGGGCTCCTATCCCGTCTGCGCCGAGTTCTGGATCGGTCACGATCATCCCGTCGAGACATGGTGGCACAACAAACTCATGCAGCAAACTACAGCAATTGTGAGACTTAGCTATGATCAGACGGCTGTCTTCCCTTTAGTGAAACCTCGTTCCTGAAATTCCGCTGTACTATGATATGAACGTTGAGGTCAAATTTTCCGGCGAACCGGCCCGGGGTCACGTTCCCCCAAACTGGGGTAGCCACACTTCAACTCCCAAGCGAGGGCGCTAATCCTTCGAGTGCAACTGATGAGTCTCGAGTACAACTGATGAGTCTCGAGTACAACTGATAAGTCTCGAGTACGATGAGTTTCGGCTCGCGATGCACTCGGCTTCCCTCTAGTGACGAAAACGTTACCCGAAAGAACAAGAAGCACAAACAGCGCCGCGACCAAGGGGGCCAAAAAGACATTCAGAGATCACTTGCAGGTACGCATTGAGGCGTCCCTCAACGCTTCCGGCCAAACTTCCATAGCTTCGTTGGCGTGGCTAGGAAGATGGCTGCCACGCCCCCTGCGACAAACATGATCTCGTCGAGAAAGGTGGTGTCAGGGTACATCTGACACTCCGACACTCCGCACACACACACACATACACACACATACAAGCACACAACCAAACCAACAAACAAGCAAGCAAACAAAGCAAGCAGGCAAACAAGCAAGCAAGCAAGCAAACAGGCAGGCAGGGAGGGCAGGCAGGAAGGCAGGCAGGAAGGCAGGCAGGCAAGCAAACAAGCAAGCAAGCGATCGAGAACGCAAACACACAACCAAACAAGCAAACAAGCAAACAAACAAACAAACAAACAAACAAACAAACAAGCAAGCAAGCAAGCAAACAAACAAACCAAACAACCAAACCGATGAATCAAAAAAATGCACAACCAACCAAACATAAAAAATGAAACACAAAACAAACAAACAAACAAACAAACAAACCAACAAACAAACAAACAAAACAAACAATACATAAAAAGAAAACAAAAAAGAAGAAGAAAAAAAACGAAATCAAAAAAATACTTGAGAAAGAAATAAAAGCGGCGCCAGCTATTGCAACTGTGCTGCGGTATCTTGTTGAAGCGATGCTATGCGCGCAGGCAAAGTTCAGCTCCAGGCTGGGAGCGCCCACAAACACCTTACCAGACAGCTCTCGTGCTTAGGCCACGTAGCTCTCGCAGTTTGTAAAATCCAAATATTGCAGACAAAGTAACCCCTGCCAGCTCATCTATTGTAAGCGGCGGCTCAAGCGCACCAGATCTCGCTTCCTTCATTCTTTTCATAGCCACAGACTTCATCCTGAAGCTTTGCTCCGCGTTCACTCTGGGTTCTCAGTGTTTACTTTCTGTAGGGTTCCTCATGAACTTTTGATCTCGGAATCAACAACATTGAAAAAGACGCCAAGGCGGAATTATGTCGAAGAAGCTGCGCAAAGAACCTGTGAGGAGCAAATGATCTATGCTGCCGCGTGGATGTTACTAGGCCTTTCCAAAAAAGACACCAACTAGCACTGGTAGTGATGCAAAGCCAAAAAAGCTTGCTTTGGCTTCGCAGCTCTTCATTCGTAGGTATGTTGCTTGCGTTGTTGCTTTTTGGCGCTTGTTTGAAGGACTTTAGCAACCTCCACGGAGTGTAGATCATTTGGCATCTCATAGCTTTTTCCATATGTTTCGCCCCACACCCACCCACCCACCCACCCACCCACCCACCCACCCACCCACCCACCCACCCACCCACCCACCCACCCACCCACCCACCCACCCACCCACCCACCCACCCACCCACCCACCCACCCACCCACCCCCCACCCACCCACCCACCCACCCACACTTCTAACCAACCCAGCAATGATTTTTGCCGGTTAATGCTAGGCCATGGCCTCCTCCCACAAAAGAAACAAAAGGCGCTTACCCCCGAGCCAAGACATCAAAGAACCACAAAACTGAGCACTAGGGGTTCGTCCTCGTCAGCTCCTGCTGCCATTCAATCGCCTGCTTGCGATATGGGGTGTACGGTGTTTGTACCTCAAACGCGCTCCACATCAGTCGCACTTGGTACCTCAGATTCATGTCGACCGTGCATGCCCGCACAACTTGAACTCGGTGAAAGAACCAAGAAACTGGCAACTGAGATATGAAAAAAATGACAGAATGACAAAACAAAACTGCTACTCAAACAGCGTGGTGCGATGTTATGCCATAAGCAGTTCTTTCTCTGATGTACGGAGGAAGCTGGCCAGCTCCGGCTGGTCCCTTCTTCTGCCAGTCTGGGGGCTCTGGAATGCCCTCCACCAGAATCGTCAAGACGTTGGACAGAACTGCAGTTGGGATCATTTTGCGCAAAATCTCCTGACTTGCGCAACTTGAGTTTCTCGAACATTCGTGCGACGCAAAGGCAAAACATGGCGTATGTGTTTTTCCTTTTTGTTGTATGTTACCAAAATCAAAGCGTCTGTTTCGTAGGCCATCTCTTGGTCCAGCAGGATGTAAGCAGTGCCTCGCGCCTGCCCCAATATGCCTGGCGTCAACCCGCTCTCGCACTCCAAATGCCACACTGACGACCAAACTCTTAGACCATCTTTCACTGGTTCTGGCCTTTCTGGTCTTGAAGCCGCCCGCTGAATTGTGTGTTCAAAGATTTGACGATCTGCTCCAGGTCAGAAGCTGCTCGCTGCCGCTTATAGCATTCCGGCGGCTCCTGCTTGCCAATCAACCGCCGCTTGGCCATGGCATGGGGATGGTGCGCTTCCTCCCCCTCGGGCCAAACTAGGCTGGGCGTATGGAGTGTGTGCGATGCAGGTTCGGAAGCGAATGCCATGCACCCCGGCCTGGCTCACCCATCGCTGCACAGAAGCGGATGCCAGCGAGTTTGAGCCATCGTCGCTACCAAGATACCCCGAGAGCATAAAAGCCTGGAGTATGCCTTCAATGCCCATCCCGAGCAGCCGAGCACCACACCCACCATGGCTGGAACGATTGGCCTGGGCACCGATTCAAACAGCACTCATGTGGGCTGTGGTTGTAGCCGAAGGGCAATCTTTTTGCATCCTGAGAGGGCGAACTCTGTCGACTGTACATCTGTACTCCGAAGATAGGTGAAACGGAAACATTTGAGTTCCTTGCCCCTGAAACTGCACACAGGATTTGCTCCAGCTCAGAGGGCCCTTGGCCGTGCTCGCAAAATGCTGCCATCAAAAGCAGCACGTTCAGGGCATTTGGCCCATGGTGCCCGGGCAAGGAAGAAACCGTTGCGCCATGTTCGGCGACGGGCGCTGCACCTCTGCCACCTGCCGACATGAATTGTCAAAATGCAAGGGTACAATTCGGTACAATTCCATATTTTCAATATGTTCATGCCTTGGTCAGCCTTTGTCATTCTATGGGTTGAGCAGGTGGCGAATATCCAGCCACCGTTGCAGTTGAGGCTGCGCTAGGCGCATCACGCTTGAATCCGTTGACTGCTCCAGCCCCATGTTTACCACAAACTCCGAAGGCTGAAATTCCATCTCCGATCTGAATTCGGGGAAGGGAGTCAGCATGCCGGTGCTCTCTTCCACCGAAAGAATCCGCCCTCGCACTTTGCTGTGGTGATCACACCTGTGGAGGAATGGGGCCGTCCAGCCGCCGCGCAGCTTAACACCTTGCAGCTGGACTAGCCACAGCTTCCCCATCCGCAGCACTACAGATGCCTGGCCAGGCTGGGGTGACAAAGAAGTCGACTCTGACAGGTCAAAGAGATCTATGCACTCCACCTCTGCCAGCCTCCGCGCTCTGTGGAGCTCCGCTGCATACAACAACCGCGTTGCTGCAGGCAGCTCATGGACCAGATCCCCCTGCGAAACCGGATCCAGAGTAGAAGGATATTGCCAGCCATGGCATGGGCGCTCAAGATCCGGACCTGTGAGGTAAGCAAAGAACTCCTGCAGCAGCTTCACGACTTGATTACGATTCTGGCTTGAGCTTCTCCGAGTTTTATGGCCCGACTGGATGTGTGCCAGGAGCACGTGGATTGCTGTGAGCAACCAAACCAGGCTTGGGAAGCCGCCCTCCTTGGTGCCGGGGATGTGGCGTCGGGAGTGCCAATACTTCACAGATCTCAGAAAATCCTGCGTAAGCTGCCAATGTTCTGTGAAGGCGAGCTCCTTGAACCAACGTGTATGTTCCTCCTTGGGCTCAAATTCTGTCTCTGAATGCCCCAGCACATGTCTTCGTTATTCATGTCCAAGCCTATTGCTTGATTACGCTAGATGTGGCTAAGAGCAACAATCAAGAACCTGGGTGAGAAACGTGGGCGTGCCCTGCTTTGCATGTCGGCAATCCCAAAATAGTGTCAAATTGAGGAGTCCCGTTCTTGCAATGTGTTTGGCTGCGGGTGTTTGGGAAGGGGTGATTAGAGGGGCATGGATTCCGCAGAATTGCAGCTGCGAGGCGGGCAATGTCTGGTTCACCGACATGTCCATGCGAACCGCATGGTCTGCTGTGGTGACCTCGGACCATGGTAACCTACCGCCCCACACATGCTGAAAGCACCGGCCTTGACAATGGGGATTCGGGCTCGGTCAATGACTTGCACAGCAAGGGTCGGGTCCTGGGCATAGATTGCAACGCGCTTACGCCGCCCCCCCAATGACGTTGAATCTGGTAACCAGGCAATTGTCAGGAAGGGTAAACACACATGCAGCTATCCATCCCATTGGGTGGAACAGCCTGACAGCAATATGGCGCAAACACTTGTCCAATGCGTATTTGCGCAAGCAGTCTTTCGGGCACAACACCAACACAACCACTTTCTTACAACAGTCCTCCGACTTGAGCACATCCGCGGTGGCATGCAGTGCTTGAATGGCATCTGTGCCGCTCTTGGTGAAAAGCACGGCATCAACATCCTGAGCTCTAGCCACTTGGTGCTTGTTGCCCCAAAATGCCAGGACTTGCTAAGGGACAGAAGCGGGAATGTCGACCTGCAAAGCAACCTGAGCATTGTTCTCTCCTTTGGCACCACAAAGAGGTGCCTCATATGCAGCTTGCGTTTGAGTTCTGAGTGGCCGGCGCTGCCCACCAAAGCCACTCGTTCAAATGTCTCCCCAAGAGCTTTTGCTGAAGCATCCCTGACATCAAAGGCGTAGGCAAAACGCTTACAGCAGGAGCCAACGTACCAGCAACGGGACCAGCTGAGTTGCTGATCTCGGTGTCACAAAGCATGCTCCACGCAGTCCCCTCACGGTCGAGCCTGACCAGGTTCAATAGGCGTTGGCGCTCTGGGAGAAGCTTGTCAGACTCGGCCTGCCTCGGAGCACATGGGACCAAATGGGCTCTTGCTTCAGTCACAAGCTTTGACTTGCACACATGCCAGCTCCCAGCTTCCAAGGCACAGCATAGCCAAAATGTGCCCAAAACCTTGGACTGGCTGGGCCAGTGGCAACGGCAAAAGGCCAAACTTCAGAGTTTGGTGTCTGTGCTTCTGCCTGGCTTTCCAGGTCCGGTGCACCGACTGCGGTCCCGGGTGCTCTCAGACTCATGTGTCTCCGAGCAGCTCCTTACCGTGATCTCTGGCAAACAGGGGCAGCCCATGAGCCCAACGTAAGCTAAGGAGCTGCTCGCTGACTGCATCATGGCAGGCTTCCTCACCCGGCTCCCCGCAACATATTCGTCTGCGCGAAAAAATGTGTATGCTGCACCAAACACCTCTGAACGCACGTTTCTTCGCTGCCTTGACTACTATGTTCACCTCCGCCCTCAGGCCGAAAAAAGATGTATCTTCCCACACCCCATCCCCAACCCTGTCAGTCCGCATCCCACAAAAACATAAGTCACGTGTCCCAGACGCGAGTCCGGGCCCCGACTACCTAACTGCTGCCCCTCACCCCCAGATTCGCCGAACCGAATCCCAGCGCAGGGTTCTCCGACTCTTGCCCGCTAACTCCAATAGCCCCGGTTTACGATAAAATTGACCTTCAGTCCAGCCTAGGAAGCCAAGATGAGTGTGGTGGGCATGATTGACGCTGGGTGCCGCATGCGTCCAAGGTTCTGCCTCCGAGCTCGCCGTAGTCTTCGTGTCAGAGAGCGCGTCGACTTCGACACGGTGTTTCTCCGCCTTGAGCACAGCATGAAAATCCCCGATGGCCAAAAGTAGAAAATGGATATGAGAAGAGATACTCTGCAATGCCCCCATTGCCCAAAAGGTTTGCTCGCGAATCTGACCACTTAAGCACTGCCAAAGCGGCGGGAATATTTGCGGGCAGATTGCGTAGCTTCTTTGAAGCCCACATCCTCCAAAGCTTGTCTTCAACATGGGCATGACGTGTCTTACACTCGTCTAGCCTGCGATGAGAACTGCCTTCTTCCAAGTTCTTGTGCCGCTGCGTTCGCCTTGCCTCGGCCCGGCATTTTCTCCAGACTTCTCAAGGACTATCCGAACTGGAAATTGTAGATTCCATGGCCAGGGTTGGCCTCAACTTGTCCACACAGCTCAAGGCGAGCAGCAGGCGGGCGATTGCGAGAGCCAGCGAGCTCTTGGCTTTGCCTAGGTTGAGATCTGCACATCAGCGGACGTGGCAGCGCACCCAAGGCGGCTGCTTGCTGTCAGGTGACACGCCGGACGCGGGTTTGCCCGTCCGAAAGGCAGTGCCGTCTGCGCCTTCTCGGCCTTTTCCTTTTCCGCCTTTCCCCTCTCGTTCCCACGAGGGCCTCCACGGCAGCACCTGGCTTGTCGACGTTGCCACGAAACCAAAAGGAAAGCCCTAGAAGAGTTTCTTGGTTGGTTGGCTGGCTGGCTGGGTTGGTTTTGGCTGGGTTGGTGGTCGGTCGGTCGGTCGGGTCACGGACACATGCGGCGCACCGATGAAAAGGAAAAATGGATTGATTGGCCAGGCCTTGCGTCTGTCGGCAGTGCAGGGTGTGTCTACCGTCCGTTGGCCAGTCCGCCTCGCTACAACTGTTCTATCAAACATCCGTGTGGCGTCAACGCAAGGCCAAAAAATGCATCCAAGCGGCTCCCATGATGGTCTCCAAGGCTGGGTCTGGCACAAGTCTCCACTTGTCAAGCTTCCAGCACGCGAAAAGCCCACTTCAAAAAAAAAAAAAAAAACAAGTCACCGAGCAGCAGTGATCGACTCTTCCTTCCACTTTCGCTCCTTTTTTTTAAAGCGCACGCACCTCTTCTTGCGAGTCTTTTGTACATGCCTCCACCCAGAACAACCAAAAACCAGAGCCGATGTCGATTCTCCTCTTCAATCTGCTGGCCCAATCCTTTGGCTTCTGCTCGGCTCCCAGGCACAATGCCTGCACAAATTGCCATAAGGCCAGAACCGTCTTCATTTCTCAAGTTCTCAATGCATGCCAAGATGCTTGGGTCTCTCATCGTGGGATGTGGGACCTGAGTGGAGGGCATTTCAGCTTGCGATACCCTCAAACATATGAAGCTGAGCTGCTGCACAGCCCTCCGGACGTCCGGCAGACATCTGCCCGTGACCCACTCATGGCAAACAGCGTCGGAATATTCAATCCACTGCGCATCACCTCGGCCCTCGGTCACGTGTCCGGGTGAGTCACCCACGCTACCTCCGCTACCTCCATAAAATGTCTGTCACAGGCGCCCCCCCCCCCCGTGGTGGCTGGGGCTGAGGCAGCACCTCTTCGGCCAGAGTCCGGGGGTGCCTGGCAAGGAGCATGCCGCTCCATGCAGGCTCTGCCAGAACTGATCCAGGGGGGCTAGCCTTGCCCCTTTTTGCCGCACACGTTGGCTTGCCTTCGCTTCTGGAATCATGTTGTATCCTTCGCACTTCTCGCAATGTCTTGGAGTCCTTCTGCTGCAGCCACCGAGCGATGTCCTGTAAATTCTGGTGGGGCTCGTGTCTCTGCCAGACGGGCTTCTCTATCTGACGGCCCATGGGCTCATCATCGTCTCTTTTTCTTTGTCCACGCAGTTCACGCAATTGTTCCTCGCTAAACTTCGGGGACAGCCACTCCTATCATTGTGTCTCGCGTGACCAACTCCATAAGCTGCTCCTCTGACCAAGCATCCGTCCCAGCGGGCCTCCTTGGCAAAACAAAGTATCGCAAGTCAGCGTTTGAGTCAAGCACATGAATGTTGACCTTAGAAGGCACCTCTAGGCCAAAAGATTGTAGCAGCTCCCGCGGGTGATGAATTGCCTGGGTTCTATACTCGCGGGACTTATACCAGGAAGGCGCAAGACCAAGCAAACTGACAGGGTAGCAAGAGCACAGCGTGCAAACCACCAAGTTGTGTACTTCCGACGTGGACTCCACAACCTTCACCTTGCTGTGGTTTGCCAACGAGTCCAGGGAGCGAATGGCTTCATTTGCATCTGTGAGAAGCCAAGTCCGAAAGCCCTCGTCTAGCCAGGCCCGGGCCACAACCCGTGGTCCCAATGCCTCCGATCCAAGTTCTTCAATGATCTCAACAGCTCTGGGAACAGCTGCGGCACCCACTTCACGAAGGGTCAGCCCCATCAGCGCCTCTGTGAGCCGCTGACCAGGCTCCTCTGTGCCCTCCTCATCTACAGCCCCCTGCTCCACCTCTGCCCGTGGGAGGTGATCGTGGGCCTGCTTTGGGATTTTCGGTCCAACCTGCAGTGCCAGCCCTGCGTCATGCATTTCCTGCACAACTGTCCGCAGGCTTTGCCGCAGCGATCGCCGCTTTGGAGGCTTAGCACGGGGGCCTTTTGCGAGTGGAACCGGCTGTGGGTCGTTGGTAAACTCCCCCTGAAGCCAGCTTTGGAAAACCTCAACAAGGACTGCTTTCTCAGAGCTGTGCGGGCTGCGCCAACAGACTGGAGTCACATCTTGAAGGGGGAACGAAACACAATAGCAGGCTTCTTGGCACCCCTCGTCCACCAAGCCAATTTCGCAGCTGAATCTGAAAAAAGCAGGATCTGACCTCATACCCATAGTCTTGACCACAGTCCCGGTGACACCCTCCAAGCTGCCAGGCACAGGCAAGTGTGGTCGTCTCCATCTGGATGCGGGTCTGCCAGCAGTTGTTCGAAGCCGCACCCGGTCCCCGACGTTAAAAGCTTCGCGCCCATTCGATGCGTCACCCAGCGCGTGGCCCAACTCCTGGAGATCGAAGCCGCCCGAGTCATGGCCTTGTTCCAGCAGCACTTTGGCCAAGGCCACTGCCCATACGCCATGCCCCCAATCATACTGAAGCGACTTGTGTGCATCCAGCAGGCGTTGGAAGGTCACTTTCTCCATGGCGCAGAGCACCACCATCAACGCCAACAGCTCAACCTCCCAATGCTTCGAGCACGAGGCCTCCGCCGAGGCACCCGAGGCGGCCATCCAAGCTTTCGGATATTGTCTGGACTTCCTTACCACGGCCACGGCGGCCATGGCAGCCATGGCCATGCTGGCCGCTGGCAAGGCCGGCGCCGGCCTTCCGGTTCCAAAGCACTTGCCATTGGGCCACCGGAGTGCAGATTGGAAGCCATGCGGAATTGCCACACGGCATGGCTGGTGTGCCCATCGCATGGTATCGTCCAGAATGAGTCGGCTCACCATTTACTGGACTCCTACGTTCCTGGGAACAGCTATGGCATGCAAAAAGGTTTTCTGCCACTGCATTCACGACTTCGACGAAGGCCAATACTGAGACGAGCAGACCAGGCCAAGAGCTTGATGATTGCAGGGTAATACTTTGGAAACCTGCATTTCGAGCACAGCATGTGCCACCGGGGGCGCGACAGTTCCACCAGCTCCAGGCTCAGGTTGCAACACTGGCGTGTGCAAGAGCATCTTGGAGGTGTTCGTCGTGAGAAAGAGCAAGGTGCTCCTGGGACGGCTGTGAGGGACCGAGCCAACTGCAACTCAGGCCCCTCGCATTGCCAGAAGCTGTTGTCTGTATCTCACCGAAACCTTGCAGGGCAGTGTGGTCAACAGAGGCACCATGCTGGGACTGCGCAATTCGGGTCACTCAAGCACCAAGAACCTGGCATAATCCTCAAAGAAGTGGTGCAGCACAGGGTCGACATCGAAGATGACCTTCGGTGCTCACAGTTGTTCAATTTGCAAGGCTACTTTGCCGAGCCCAGGGCATGTTGCCCATGGTTCACAAAGAATTGAAGGACGGAGGCAAACACCACCCCACTCCTCGGGCAAGACTTGATAGGATGTACCAAGCGCTGAACGAAGCACACAAAACAAATTGTGCTGGCCGGCTACGTTGGGCCGTCAAGCGCTAGGAAAGAAATATTAGAGGTTCTGAGCAGGGCCTTGAGCAGGGTCAAGCAAGTGGAACCCCATGCGAGCGAGCAAGCATCATTCCAGGATAGTAAGGGCCCAAACCGGCAAAGTTGTATGCAACATGTCGCTAAGCCCAGGACTGACGATTGGCTGTCCTTTCATAGACCTTCAGGCCAACAATCAGCCGAGTGGCTCGGAGCACTCAAGGGCAGCCTTTTTCACTGCTGGGAAGATGCGGGTCACAAGCGAGGGGTCCATCAGGCACAGGAGATCCAGAATCCGAACCTTGGACCATTGGATGGGACATCGCCCCCGTGGCCCCAACCCAAGCAAACTAGAACACTGACACACAAGCCAACCTTTGAAACGAGAACAAACCCCTGCCGGAAGCACAAGAATCACCCCAGCACCCCATCACCCCGGATGTAACCCGGGACTGCGGCAGCTTCCATCGAAACACCCTCAATAAACTCTCGCATCCAGTCCAGCTCGGAGATCATATACCTCTCATGCAAGGAACTCCGACAGCGTGAGGATCAGCAGCGCCTGGTTCCCAGTCTCATCTGCCTGGCTCACCCCCAAAACTGTGCTCGTTGTGAAAAGTTGAATTCTGACAAGTGGCTGTGGGCCGTCCCGTACGATGTCCAGTTCAACCTGCAAGAAAGTGCGGCCGCATCCTTTGCTTGAAACGCTCGAAGGCAACTGTCACCTGGGACAGGATCCGCAGACAAATGCTGATGACAACCTGCGCGCGGCCCCATGCCAAACACGCCAGAGCACGAGGATCGGATGCAACAGCCTCCCCCGCTGTGCCCTGATTGCCTCACGGAAGTGGTCATCAAGCGTGAAGTGGCCAATGAGCGAGCTCCTTAGTGCTGAACTCGCTTAACGTGCGGCTCCGCATCTTGCGCATCTGCAAGTTTTCCCCACTCTTCCATTCCGCCTGGAGCGCGGCCTGGAATCCTCCTCTGGCACTTGGTTCGCCTCCCTGCACCAGAACAGCTAGCACAAAAGAGCCAACGGCAAGGCCCGCGCGGCAGATCTTGCGCATCCATACCTCTCACTTCATCAGGCACTGCAAGGGCACTCTTTCCAACGGGGCCAAGACCGGCACCATGAACCAGACCTCAGTTTTAGCGAGACATCAATGGCTGGTCGAGCACGGGACCGCTACGCTAGACTGTTGCGTTGGTGTGGCCATGCTACTTCCCCGCCTTTGCCATGGGCTGGGGCGCGGCGGTTGCATCGTGTCTTTCCCGAAAGCATTGCGAAGGGTTCTTCACTAGCGAGTCGCACTAGCAAGTTACATGAGCAAGTAGCCCTAGCGAGTTGCTCTAGCAAGTTACAGTAGCAAGTTGCACTAGCGAGTTGCACTGGCAAGTAGCACTAGCGAGTTGCATTGGCAGCAAAGGTTGCTTTATCAAGCGACCACACCAAGTTACACAAGAGTTTCAACGTACTACAATAGACAAAAACATATTTGCCAATATTCCTCTGAATTCGCGCACGAAGGCCTGCGCCAACTTGGCGATCGAAAAGCTGACCCTCTGCGGGGATTGGCGTGGCCTGTTGGTTTTTTGTTTTGCGATTTCTCGGCTGCGCGCGCGACCCCCTGCGGAGATCAGCACGGCCGATGTCAAAAACTGACTTTTTTGCGATGTTTTGCGGCGCGTGCGCGACCCTGTATCAAGATCGATGTCAAAAACTGCGGATTTTTGTGCAAGTTCTCTGGTGCCCACGCGACCCTCTGCGGAGATCGGCGTGGTCGATGCTAAAAAACTGAGGACGGTTTTCTGTGTTTTTTTCGTTGCCCGCGCGCCCCTCTATGGGGATGGGCGTGGTCGATCGCACGAAACGCTAGTAAAACGCTACATTTTCTAGCAGGAACGCGGGCCTGAAAGTTTGTCTCGTGGTTTGCGCCTGCTCTTGGAAGCGAGCGGCCCCGGGCTCGAATCCTGCAGCTCCGGCTGGAAAATCGCAAGTTGAGCTACGAAAGCAGTTCGCAAAAGACACTTTCAGAAGGCTCCGGCTGGCAGATCATTGCAACTTTTAAAACCGAACTAGAAGATGGGTGGCCCGAAAGTATTGGTGCACAGCGGCAAATTCGCCTAGCAAGTTCTCTGCGCAAGTTCCTCTGGCAAGTTGTTGGAGCGAGTTCCTCCTTGAGCAAGTTCTCCAAGCAAGCTCTTGGCACAAGTTCTCTGAGCAAGTTCTCTCAGCAAGTCTCTCAACAAGTTTCCCTGAAGCACTGACCACAACACAGCAACCTGTCAATTGTCGATCCGCACCTGCGAAAGCGTACTTCGCGTATATGCTTGTGGCGCTGTTTAAGCGGCGCACTTCCGGGCGGCATATCTTTTCAAGCGCAAACTTCTGGCAGTCAGCACCGCTAAATCTACATGTCCTAGGTGGTCTACAGAAATGCTTTCAGCATCCTGCCCTCATGCTCTCTTCTTCAGGTCTCGAGGATCGTGCCATGCTCCAAAATCCACTGCACTCCGGTGCAATTCCAGTGCGCCAAACGCGCTCAAGGTCGTCTCTGGCAGCCTGTCACTCACTCCGAAGGAATTTGCCCGGGGAGCACGGCCACCAGCAAGACCTGCTCCCTCTCCCTCGCCTCGGGTGTTGGTGTCTCCTGCGGTGGGAGCACCAGCTCTGGGCATCGCATGGGGCAATGCCGGCTTTGCTGCAGCCACCGTGTGATGCACTCAGCGTGGAACAAATGGCCACAGGGCAATTTCATTGCCTCCGCATCTTGATCCTCAAAGTCGCTGAGACAAATCACGCATGTATCCTCTGAAAGACCCAGTTTCACCGGTTGTGGGCGAAATGGGTGAAATTCTTCCCCCTCATCCTCGGACTCCTCCGCTTCGTGTGACTTGGGAAGAGCGTACAGCAAAAAACAAATGACATCTAAAAGGGCCAGCAACAAGTTGGCACTGAAAAGGACGATGCTAAGCCATTTGCCTTCTGTCGACGCAGTGACCATGGAGGAGGTGAGCAAATACATCACATCGAGCATTACACGCATTCCCCGCCCAAGTTCTGTAAAGTCGACTTGCGGCCATGGTCCAAAGCAAAGGCAACATGCAACGCATTGCGTGAATTGGTATAGGCAGCCAAAGCGTATAGACATCCTCCGTATGGCACGGAAAGTCCATCTTGCAAGAGGCAGCCTCATCAACATAAGACATGTGCGAAAGAAGGTTGATCCTGTACGTGGCTGGTCCTCGACCTGGTTCTCAAACCATATCGTTGGGATAAATGCAACCAGCTCCAGGGAGATATGAACAAATCGCAGCGGTCGGAACAGCTTGTGAGGCCCTGCCTCGCGGGGCGACTGCGTGGAGCTGAAACTGTCATGAATGTTCTCGGACATGTCCGAGCCATGGGAAGGGCACGAGATCTGTGCGATGCAACAATTGGGCGGGGAGCTGTGCAACTGTTTCAGGCTGTGCTGTGTACTGGTGCTTGGAGGGTGACAAACGCTTCCTTTGATTGGTCGTGCCTTTTAGAGCCCATGCAGCAGAAAGAATATCCCTCCTAACGTTGCAAGCATCATAAGCATCGTATTCATTGTTCTCGGCTCGGCACTCACCAAAGATTCTTGACAAGGTGCCAAATGCAATCCAATGCGTGAAGGTGCTGAAATCCATTTCTAAAGCGGATAAGCTTCTGGCCGTAATGCTCAAGCTTGGAGACGATGTCATCCCTGCTCTGCCTCATTCGCTAAAAGTGCAGAGTCCTCTTGGCACACCTGAAGGGCAAGACCGCTTTCGCGCTTGCAAAAGCTGCGCCTCAGATCATTGCCACATGACCCACAAGCTGACAATGCAGGCGCGGCCTGGTAGAGGTAGAACAGCCAACAGTAGAGGGAGCTAAAGATATGAACGTTCAGCAATTGGTCCTCGCAACATCGAGATCCCGACGCTTGCAACGCATGCCAAGTCCCACAGCCTCGGAGTAATCGTAAGAATTGTTCATGCAGGTGAAGAAATCGCGGGTTGGCGTGCCATCCACCTGCAGGCACATGGTGCACTAGTGCCCGCTGCCATATGATCAGCTAGGCCTGCCTCTGTCACATTGCAAGCTGCAGAGGTCGACACAATCCTCACCTGCGAGACAGAAGAGTCAAAAACAAAAGAAGAACAAAGAAGAAAAATAATATTATAAAAAGAATTAAAAAAAATGAATAATAAAAAGAAGATTTCGAAAGTAAGGCCAGGGCCCCAAACAATGTCGTCGACGTAGTTTTGCGCGTCTCCAGCGAAGCCCCCGTCAAGAGCTTGGAGAACTGGACCTCCATTGGGCGGATGTGCTTCTCCTTGTCCAAGACCTGAACGGAGATATGAACGGAGATCTGAACGGAAGAGAAGTGAAGAGAAGTATAATGAAGTAGTGAGTCATGCAGTGAATCAATGAATCAATGACACACGGAAAAAGTGAGCGCCCAGGCGTTCGGAAACCGCTGGACGGCTGCAAGGAGATTGGTGAGCGCTGCCTTCGGGCCCAATACTCCGTGCCGAAGTGACTGCCGAATCTACGCCAAGTTGCGGTTTTGAGGCTGACACTGGTGGAATCCTGCATTGCACCAAGTGCTGGGTGCCTTTTGCTGCTTAGGCACTGGCGCTGGTGAACCACGTTACTAGGCTCGGAATGTTCCGCACCTCAAACATTTCAACCGTTCGCCATGTCAAGCTAAACTGACGACACGAGCGCAGGGCCAGCAGGTCCGCGTTGAGCCTTCATGGAAACTGCCAAGCCCAACAAAGTGCGGTGAGGCGGCGGCAGCTGCGACAGCACGGGCAGGAAATACACGACCTGACAAGTACAGCACAGAGCGGCGGCTTGATAAGGGCGAATGATTGCGAAGGCAAGCCTTGTTCTGGTCATAGTGATGGAAGTGTCCGCCGAAGTTGTCTCGGAAGAAGTATGGAACCTTGATTGCCCAAACAGCAACTGTGCCCACGGTATGCCCTTTGCTGTGCCTCGCCAGCTGACAGCTCCCGCACTAAGGCTGCACCTTTGCTGGTCAACAAGCTCATGTTCTCCCATGCAATGCACGAGAGCGCCGCGTGCAACTGCCACTGAGGGTCAAACTCAGAATGCGAATCCGTGGCGGCGCAAAGCCATTGTCACCTGCCCAGCTCGAAGCTGAATCCGCAAACATTCAGCACGCCCGCCAACTAGGAGGGCAAAGAGCTCCTGAAGAACCCGATGGGTCACCTGTGCGCTTCAGGTTGCCCGGTGTCTTCTCAATCAAACCGTGGTTGCCTCGCTGAGCTTTCGGGTCGGCAGGCTGGATCCCGGACCTGGGAATCAACTTTGCATTCCAATGCGCTTCCAATGCGCTTCCAATCTTCTGAGCCGAGCTCTGAGGCCCCAGCCGTGGACTGGCGCCGGCTGATGCAAGGATGCCGTGACCTCAGATCTGAGAACGGCGAATGCAAGGGCCGTGACGCATCGCTCCTTTTTGCTGGCCCCCTGTCCCATGCTTTCGGAGTGGCGTAGTGAAATGCCTTGCGCATAAGCTGGTGCTGCTCAGCCTGCGTATGAACCGCCGACTGCCTTCCTCTTGATTTTTGGCATCGGAGCCTTGCTGTCTCGAGTCTGTGACTTGAGCTCCTGATGCAACCTCAAAAGTGAACTTGCTCCGTGGGAAAGGGGAAGGCAACCCGCCTTCCAAGGATGGTCGCGACATCGCTCTGCCCAATTCTCTCCATTCCTTGGCCTCAGCTTTACGCAAAACAGATTCAAACGGCTAACAAAGCACTATGTTGCAAATAGGGGACTCTCAAGGCCATATCAAGCTAAGAAATGGCCAGCAAAGGCAAGCCGCGCAGGTACGCAAGAGAGTATGTCATCTGGCCTCTGAGAGCTGTAGCCGTAGCTAACATGGATCGTGTTGGATGTATCATGCTCACGCCGCAGGGTTCAAGAGCTACTGTCCCGTCAAAAACTCGAAAACAACATGCCTTACAGCCTTACAGTCTTACAATTTACACTCCCCAGCTATCATGCATCATCGAGCACGATTCTTCCAGCCAAAGCTTCACAACAGCAGCCGCACAGCACAACCATGTCGAGAGGCAACAATGCATGCCCTAAATTCTAGCCCGACATTTCCGGCGCACCGCCCAAATTCATCGAATTGTGCCAGGCACGATGCAAGCACAAACCTTAGACCAAAACTTAGCCTCTATCTCTGTGGAGGTTAAAACCGGCCAATAGTCATGTAACAAACCACGTCACTCTTCATGTAAGTATTCATGTAAACAAAAACAGGCCTCAAAGAAACACGTAAAAGATCATGTAAACAATGTGTGCCTCAGTGTTGGAAGCTGGAAGCTGCATCATTTGCCATGTAACAGGCCTGAACAGAGATAAAAGGACAATCAGACAAGCCAATGGCAAAACATTGGCACAAAGAAGGTAAGGCTCCAACGCGCCCCTCCCATCTCCATAACAAGCGCCCAAGGTGTTGATTGAATGATCTTTGTTAAATCCTTAGCAGCTGCCGTGCGAATGTTAGGAGGCCAAACATCTTAAGTCTTAAACACGTGGTTGGTAAGCCTAAGCATGCGTGAGCAGAAGCAAGAGCAATTCCTGAGCATGCTGTTGCAATCTTCGGAATGGTTCCTAGGTACGCAGCTCCAATGTCTCCGAACGGTTCAGAACGGTTCAGGGTATGATGCTGCAATCCCTCCTGAACGGTTCAGCACGGTTCAGGGCATGCTGCTTGCAATTCTTCCTGAACGGTGCAGAACGGTTCAGGGTATGCCGCTGCAATGACTGCTGAACGGTTCAGAACGGTTCATAGTATGATGCTGCAATCCCTCCTGAACGGTTCAGAACGGTTCCTGGGAAGCTTGAGTGACGAACGGTTCAGAACGGTTCTGAACTATACGCCTGCTCTGTGCGCTGCTTGCTAGATGGGCTCCAGAACGGTTCAGAACGGTTCAGGGGCATGGGTTCCAATGCCTCCGGAACGGTTCAGAACGGTTCAGGGGCAAGCGTTCCAATGCTTTCGGAACGGTTCAGAACGGCTCAGGGGCATGCAGTTTGGTTGCCACCGTTCCTCGGAACGGTTCGTGAGCACGCGGCTGGCGGTTCCTAGTCCTAGGTAAATGGTCAGGCCGGCATCGGAACATCGCAAGCGATCCGAAATCTCAAAGCACAAAAAGGCAAAGACTTGTCTGAAATTTACGCGAAAATTTACGCAACCATTTACGCAGAAAAAGGCTGGCTGAACCGTTCTGAACCGTTCAGGGGACACATTTTGAGCATGGAGGTCCGTCCGCAGAACTTGCGTGCACATGTGACAGCATCGATCGCTCCTCTTTTCCGGCCTTTGCTCAACTGGGTTTCTGGAATCGGTTCTTGGATTCCCTGGGTCTTGCGGACAAACAAGGCGAAGCCGCGGCAAAGGAAAAAAACAAAAAAACAACGCGCGACAGTACCACAACGCGGCAAGCAAAGCTGCAAGAAGGCAAGGCTTAAAATCGTCCTTTGCAACTCCTGACTGGTTGGATCAGCGGCCACGCGGAGACAACCTCGTAGAGTCGTGTGTGCATGTGTGTTTGTGTGTGTGGGTGGTGTCTGTGTGTCTGTGCGCCAGGTGCATGTTAGGAATATAGACGTTAATCTTGATGTTCTTCAAGATTGGCCCTCGCAAGGTCGCCCAACAAATAGCTGACTAAGTCTTGATTGTTGGAAAGCGCCCTCAAATATTCTTAATGTTGTTCACGCAGCTGACATAACCAATGACCGGACATACCGGACGTTCTTTGACAAGACGCAGTGTTCCTAGTCCTCGGTTCCTACAACATCTCCTTTCTCATGATCACTAAACACAAATTGACATGTATCTTGGTGGGGGTTCTGGCTGCTTATTAGCATGGCAACGCAACCCAAGCGCAAGCATGGGCGCACGCGCTTTTGCGTCCGGAGCTTTTTGGCTTTGCCAACGCGACACATGCTCGCGAGCAAAAACTGTGGCTCGCAGCTACCAGTACGCATGAACATTCATGTCAAAGTTGTTGCGGCTCTTCCAATGGTTCATGACTCATGACGCTTTGCCTTCCTTCAGTGATATGAGCAGGTTAAATTCGCGAAGGGGAAGATTCTCGCCAATACACATCCCTGTCAATGAGGGACACTAAGTCCAGCTCACGCAGGGTCACTCAAGATCGGGCAAGCCAAAATAAGCTACAACTAATTTACCTCACTATTTACCATATTATTTACGGACTCTTCCTATTAAGGGCCAGGCCAACCAGAAAGCTTGATTTATTTACGTGATTGTTTACGCTTTTATTTTCGGGTACGGCGAAAACGACAGACACCCCTATTTATAGAGGCTAAGTTTTGGTTTAACACAAACCCCTTAGCTGTGACAAGCCCAAGGTGGACTGCTGGCTGAGACCTATGCTGATCAATGAGCCGTTGCCTGGCCACTACATCGCCTTGCCAACTGCCCACCACAAAAACTGTACAAACAAGAAAGGAGAGGAAGAGGAAATCATAGTCAGCATCCTGTTTACGAAAACCTCTCCCAACTTGACAGCCTGGACGAATTAATGCACATCGCACGGCTTGGCTTGCCTGACATCATATCTTATTCGGCCGGTCGCCCTTCCACATCCTGCAAGCCGAGGTGGATGTAAGCACAGTGAAGTGAATCGGGCAATATGATATTTTTGTCTGTATACTTGACGTGCCTAGTCACCCACCGTTAGAGCAGGTTTTGTATACTTGACGTGCCTAGTCACCCACCGTTAGAGCAGGTTTAGCAAACTTTGCCCGCCATGTCGGTCACCATCCACGCCTTGGCCGGCGGCCCCTCCAAGTCCTAGCAATGGTGCTATGGCGCAGGACAGCGCAGGACACCGAAAGGAACGCAAAGCATGCGTAGCCAGCCCAAACATAAGCCGCCGCTCGGCAACACCACCAGCTACCGTAACACTTCAAACGCATGAACAACGTTGCACCACTTGTCCCCTGCAGTCTCCTGACAAGCGCTGCGCTTTAGCTGAGCAGCTTTCGGAGTGGCATCTGCCTGCCAGATTGTCGGATCTGCAAAGTTTCGTACCAGTGTTGGGGTGCTCGGAGTAGCTTGGGTCTGTTTGGCTCTGCTGTGGCTGCTTTGGACTGGATGCTGGATGCTGGCATGGCGCTCGCTGACGTTCTGCCTCTTCTGCAGGCCCTGCATCCGCCTGGGCGGCTGCAGCATGGCAGGTCACTTGCTTCACTCGCCGAGTTTGGCCTCCGCGGGCGTGGCGCTGCCGCCAGGGCTGGGGCTGCTCAGGGCGATTAGGTCACTCGAGGCCTGCTCAGCCGCACTTCCAAGATTTTTCCGGCAATGCATCTCAGAATGGCGCCGCAACTCCTTTACCCGGATGCCATTCACGAGAAATCTGTGTGCTCAGCCCTTCAATCTGGAATACCTATCAACAAACAACTGCTGTTGTTTTTGCAACCATCCACGCCTTGGTCGGCGGCCCCTCCAAGTCCTAGCAATGGTGCTATGGCGCAGGACAGCGCAGGACACCGAAAGGAACGCAAAGCACGCGTAGCCAGCCCAAACATAAGCCGCCGCTCGGCAACACCACCAGCTACCGTAGCACTTCAAACGCATGAACAACGTTGCACCACTTGTCCCCTGCAGTCTCCTGACAAACGCTGCGCTTTAGCTGAGCAGCTTTCGGAGTGGCATCTGCCTGCCAGATTGTCGGATCTGCAAAGTGTTGTACCAGTGTTGGGGTACTCGGAGTAGCTTGGGTCTGTTTCGCTTTGCTGCAGTTGCTTTGGTTTGGATGCTGGATGCTGGCATGGAGCTCGCTGACGTTCTGCCTCTTCTGCAGGCCCTGCATCCGCCTGGACGGCTGCAGCATGGCAGGTCACTTGCTTCACTCGGCCGTCCCGAGTGTTCCCCAGTCTGGCCTCCGCGGGCGTGGCGCTGCCGCCAGGGCTGGGGCCGCTCAGGGCGATTAGGTCACTCGAGGCCTGCTCAGCCGCACTTCCAAGATTTTTCCGGCAATGCATCTCAGAATGGCGCCACAACTCCTTTGCCCGGATGCCACTCACGAGAAATCTGTGTGCTCAGCCCTTTAATCTGGAACACCTATCAACAAACAACTGCTGTTGTTTTGGCAAGCCACCGATACTTGCAACTACTTGTCACCCAACGTTAGAGCAGGTTTAGCAAACTTTGCCCGCCATGTCGGTCACCATCCACGCCTTGGCCGGCAGCCCCTCCAAGTCCTGGCAATGGTGCTATGGTGCAGGACAGCGCAGGACACCGAAAGGAACGCCAAGCACGCGTAGCCACCCAAAACATAAGCCGCCGCTCGGCAACACCAGAACTTCAAACGCATGAACAATGTTGCACCACTTGTCCCCTGCAGTCTCCTGACAAGCGCTGCGCTTTAGCTGAGCAGCTTTCGGAGTGGCATCTGCCTGCCAGATTGTCGGATCTGCAAAGTTTCGTACCAGTGTTGGAGTGCTCGGAGTAGCTTGGGTCTGTTTGGCTCTGCTGTGGCTGCTTTGGACTGGATGCTGGATGCTGGCATGGCGCTCGCTGACGTTCTGCCTCTTCTGCAGGCCCTGCATCCGCCTGGGCGGCTGCAGCATGGCAGGTCACTTGCTTCACTCGGCCGTCCCGAGTGTTCTCTGGCCTCCGCGGGCGTGGCGCTGCCGCCAGGGCTGGGGCCGCTCAGGGCGATTAGGTCACTCGAGGCCTGCTCAGCCGCACTTCCAAGATTTTTCCGGCAATGCATCTCAGAATGGCGCCGCAACTCCTTTACCCGGATGCCATTCACGAGAAATCTGTGTGCTCAGCCCTTTAATCTGGAATACCTATCAACAAACAACGGCTGTTGTTTTGGCAAGCCACCAATACTTGCAAGTACTTGTCACCCACCGTTGGAGCAGGTTTAGCAAACTTTGCCCGCCATGTCGGTCACCATCCACGCCTTGGCCGGCAGCCCCTCCCAGTCCTGGCAATGGTGCTATGGCGCAGGACAGCGCAGGACACCAAAGGGAACGCAAAGCACCCGTAGCCACCCGAAACATAAGCCGCCGCTCGGCAACACCACCAGCAAAGCATGAACAACGTTGAAAAACTTGTCCCCTGCAGTCTCCTGACAAGCGCTGCGCTTTAGCTGAGCAGCTTTCGGAGTGGCATCTTCCTGCCAGATTGTCGGATCTGCAAAGTGTTGTACCAGTGTTGGAGTGCTCGGAGTAGCTTGGGTCTGCTGTGGCTGCTTTGGTCTGGATGCTGGATGCTGGCATGGCGCTCGCTGACGTTCTGCCTCTTCTGCAGGCCCTGCATCCGCCTGGGCGGCTGCAGCATGGCAGGTCACTTGCTTCACTCGGCCGTCCCGAATGTTCCCGAGTTTGGCCTCCGCGGGCGTGGCGCTGCCGCCAGGGCTGGGGCCGCTCAGGGCGATTAGGTCACTCGAGGCCTGCTCAGCCGCACTTCCAAGATTTTTCCGGCAATGCATCTCAGAATGGCGCCGCAACTCCTTTACCCGGATGCCATTTACGAGAAATCTGTGTGCTCAGCCCTTCAATCTGGAACACCTATCAACAAACAACTGCTGTTGTTTTGGCAAGCCACCAGTACTTGCAACTACTTGTCACCCACCGTTGGAGCAGGTTTAGCAAACTTTGCCCGCCATGTCGGTCACCATCCACGCCTTGGCCGGCAGCCCCTCCAAGTCCTAGCAATGGTGCTATGGCGCAGGACAGCGCAGGACACCGAAAGGAACGCAAAGCACGCGTAGCCATCCGAAACATAAGCCGCCGCTCGGCAACACCACCAGCAAAGCATGAACAACGTTGAACCACTTGTCCCCTGCAGTCTCCTGACAAGCGCTGCGCTTTAGCTGAGCAGCTTTCGGAGTGGCATCTGCCTGCCAGATTGTCGGATCTGCAAAGTGTTGTACCAGTGTTGGAGTGCTCGGAGCAGCTTGGGTCTGTTTGGCTCTGCTGTGGCTGCTTTGGTCTGGATGCTGGATGCTGGCATGGCGCTCGCTGACGTTCTTCTGCCTCTTCTGCAGGCCCTGCATCCGCCTGGGCGGCTGCAGCATGGCAGGTGACTTGCTTCACTCGGCCGTCCCGAATGTTCCCGAGTTTGGCCTCCGCGGGCGTGGCGCTGCCGCCAGGGCTGGGGCCGCTCAGGGCGATTAGGTCACTCGAGGCCTGCTCAGCCGCACTTCCAAGATTTTTCCGGCAATGCATCTCAGAATGGCGCCGCAACTCCTTTACCCGGATGCCATTTACGAGAAATCTGTGTGCTCAGCCCTTCAATCTGGAACACCTATCAACAAACAACTACTGTTGTTTTGGCAAGCCACCAATACTTGCAAGTACTTGTCACCCACCGTTGGAGCAGGTTTAGCAAACTTTGCCCGCCACGTCGGCGCTCCACAAATAACCGTTGTCTGGATTCCAAGAGGTCCGGCGCATGAGGACATGTGCATTTCATATCTGAGTTCATCCCTCCTCTCAATATTGGCCTTTTGTTCGCCATGCATGGTTTATGCGGGCATCTGGAAGCTGGTGAGGTTGCCTCCCTCGTCTTGCATGTCAGCATGCTTCTGGGAAAGTCACGTTGCAAGGCAGTGAAGTGCGAGAGGCACTTCATACTCAAGCCTGGCAACCCTTAACCCTGACGGTGCCTCATGAGAAGCCTTTGCAGCTGGAGGTGACCTAGAGGGTGCTTGCACGACGCTGCACGCGCACACACACACACTCAACACGCACAACGCGCACGGCTCCTACTAATTGAGCATGAAGAACAAAAAACTTAAGTTTGCTCAGAAGCCGGCATTTTTTGCGTTGAAAACGCTTTAGTCACGGCAGCTTCGTCCTGAGGAGAATCACTCTCTGAAAAGCGTTTTACAAGTGCCGAAGCTGTCTTGCGACTGTCAGCTCAGCAGCAATCAAAGCCGGCACATGCCGCACAGTATGCATATGCCATAAATGCTGCAAGAGGTTGGCTGCGCAGTCCTGGCTTATGACCGCTGTTGCTGACGCTTGCAGCTTGGCTGAGTCTAAGGCTGCACCCAGCACTTGCTGTAGTGTGTTCATGGGCAGCTCTTGTGTTTGCCCCCGCTGTTCGGAGGAGCCTTGCGGCTCACTTTGCGGACTGGCAGAGGCATCCACGCTTTGGCTCGCCTGTCGAAAACTCAGCTCCCAACGCTAAAGACCAACATTGCCCACAGCACAGCCTGCGTGAAGCCGGCGGTCCTGAGCGTTGCCGCTTGCTTTGCAGCTGCCTCGTCCTGGCACAAGGCGCTTGGCTGCAAATACAAACTGGGCGAAGAACCTGGAAACAAAAACTGGCAACTCTACGCATATTTTTGCTCGCAAAGCCGAGGTCATGCGTCGTCCAAATGCTTGGCATGGAAGTCAATGTGCTCTTCCATCACAGATGCCACAAAAAAGAAAGAGTGATCGTACCCAGCCCGCAGTCTCAAATCGGCAGGGATGCCGTGCTGCTGACAAGCGTTGATGAAATCAAATGCTTTGACCACCTCTTGCACATATGACGATTTGGACTCGCAACCCACGTCCAAAAGAATGGGAGGGGGATGTCGTTTATTTCTATTCAAATCGAAGTCTTGCATGAGACAAACTGGGTCATAGTCTCGCCAAAATGCTTTGTCCTTGCCAAGGTAGGAGGAGAGTGCTCCTTGCACATCTGGCGAAACTCCTCTGACCTCTGAAGGATGACAAATGGGCGCCAGAGCCGAGACAGACCTGAAGCGCTCCGGATTTCGAATTGCCAAAGCAAGCGCACCCATGCCACCCATCCCATGGCCCATGGCTGAGACCCATTCAGGCCCGCAGGTGGGGAAGTTGGCGTGCACAACCTTCAAGAGCTCATTTTCCAGGTAATCCCGCATCCGGTAGTGCCGGTTCCACGGTGACTGAGTGGCATTGACGTAGTAGCTGGCTGCTATGCCCACGTCCTTCCGCTCGGCCTCGTCTGCAACACCAGGGCCTCTTGGTGACGTATCAGCTGCCACAAGTATCAAGCCGCACGAAGCGCAATGCTCCAACGCGTTGCCTTGCTTGAGGACCTCCAGGTCGCTGCAGCCCATGTCTGACAGGAACAATACAACAGGGAATTCTTCCGTGTCCTCGGGGTACGGAAGTGTCATCTGCATGCGATTGGCATCTGGGACGTAGACGCTGAAGCGAGCATCCAGCCCTCCTAAAGCTGTGGAGTAGTGGTTGCAGCGGAACACTGTTCCTTCAAAGCACCTGTGGCATTTTGAAATCCAAAGATCCGTAGATTTCGGGCTCCGTGCCCGGCTTTGTGCAATACGCGCCCTTGACGCTTTCCAGGCGACAGCCGAGAGCCCAAGTAGCCCAACACCCAAGACAGGTTTGGAGACCTTCGAGGATCTTCGGTGAGGCAGGCGAGACAGCCTTGAGAAGCTTGCCAGACCATGTAGTGGCACAGGACTCGGGCGCAAAGGGCTGGCAAGCATGCGGCCTTTCCCTGATATCCACCCGAACCATCTGTGAGACGGCTGCGGGCCCACGCATGCGAACCTCGCATGTCCTGCACCTTCCGCCACTGGAACAAGTTGCACTTTGGGCTGGGCCTGGCTCACCGCGACCTTGAGTGGCTTTGCCTGCCGGACACGGATGCAAGCGAAGTGCTTGAGACGAGTCATGGCCAGTTGGTCAGGGCCTCGGGGACTGCCAACGGCGCTGCGCCAGCTGGCGCTGCGTCTGCCACTGGCGCTTCGACGGGAGCTGTGCCCGCTGGAGCTGCGCCTAGGCAAAGGCAGCAGCAGTAGCAGTAGCCTCTTGGCACTTGGCAACGCTTGGAAACTCTGAAGGCCTTGGGCTGCACCGGACTGCGCTGGAAACCTTGGCGACTTCCCGAGCCCATGCGGCACACGAGGATCACCACGGGTTTCACAAAGTGGCATACCCCTGCGTCAGGCCGCGGCAGAAGCTGACCAACCAATGGGTAGCTCGTCAGGATCTTGTTCCACTTCCTGTCCTGGTGGGCACACCAGAAAAACCACGTGCACTGTGGTGTCAGCTCAAGAACTCCTGGCTTTCCATTTCTTGCTGTTTGTCAGCCAGTCGCTTCTGGAGCAATGAAACCTTGCACTGGCTACCACATGCATCCTTTTGGAGATGTGCATATCATGTCCCTTTGCCTCCGCAGCTTTCTGCTCCGCCACCTGCAGCTTGAACTGCAATTGCTGCGCCTGAGGTGCAACGCACGGGCAAAAAGGCACCAAGCGCGCACCCTGATTTCCAACAAGGCTTCAAACCGAGCTGCCCGAAGCGACGCCGCGCCGTCCAACTTGCTATGCGCCCCCGCCGCACCTTCTGTTCAGCTGCAGAGGCCAGCTGCTCCACCAGCGGAACCTTCGCCGCCTTGTAAGTTGCCTGCCACGGTATGCACATCGCCGCAATGTGGCTTCTTCACGCGCCACATGGCGTGGCAGGGTGAGTGGCTTCTTCACGCGCCTCATCCAAAGCTGTCTGCAAACCCTGGCGCTGCTGCTTGACGGCGAGCAGCCTTGCACTGCCGAGTGCAGCTGGTTAAACAGATTTTGTGCCAAAGCGCGCCAGCAATGCACAAAGCGTGAAGCATGCTTACTCTCAAAACTATTCAGCCCAAGAAAAAACATAGAAACGCCAGGTGCCGTGCTCACCCTGCAACCTGCTTTGCAGCGTGTGTGCAGCCTGCAGCCAACGGCTTTACAGGAAGTTCCAAAAAGGGTGCACATGTGCTGGCCTGAAGCTCAGTGGCAAGCTTGTCCGCCTTTGCTTTGAAGGCCAGCGCCTCCTGCCCAGTTTTTGCCAGCTCCTGTCGACAGGTGATTCAGGGACGCTTGTGTTTCTGCACGAGCTCTGTCCTGGAGTTGCTTGACCTGCTCCTGACAAGCACGGCACACACCAAGCTGGCTTAGCAAGCCCAGCCAATGGATTGCCTGCAGTTGCTGCTTCTCCGTTTCTGCGGCCAGCTGCTTCTGAGAAGCCTGGCTTGCCCCTCCCCTCTCTCTCTAATATGGCTCCGCAAAAGCACCACCTGCTCTCTGTCTGCAATGTGTACTCACAATATCTGACCTCCACTGGCAACACGGTAGCACGCCAAGAGAAGGCGAGGCAAGGTCGATTTGGCCCATGCTTCTCACCTCCGCCAGCTGCCAAAGAAAGTGGGGGACTGACAGGCAATGCCAATTTCCCCAGTCCACGTCACAAGAAGACCGCATGCCTCTGCTGACGTTTGCCACGAGGCGGCGGCAACACCAATCGAACAACAGGTGGGCTTGCTGCAGCTACTGCAGCAAGCGCCGAAAAAGGCAAAGGCTCCAGCCTGCGCCCCTTGCAATCAAGGACGACGTTTTCTTCCGCGCTGCAGAAAACATCAGCGCCCACCCTTTGTTGACACTGTGAAGCATCCGACTCGCTGCCTTTGCACTTCAGCTGCATCTGCGGAAGCACGGCCCCGCACAAGCCACGGGCCTTGCAGGAGCTGATGGGGTCAGCACCCACGGCTGAAAATCCCATCGACCTGCATGCTACCAGGCTGCTACCAAAGCGCTTCCTGATGTAAAGCCTTCCCGACACACGGGGGACCAGGCCCCGTGGAGGAGAACTTCAAGCCTGCCCAAGCCCGAGGCACTGGGCATCCCATGTGCATCAACAAGCTGCAGAGATCCTTCAAAAGGCGGCTCATCCGCATGGCACTGAATAATCGAGTCTTTGGAATGGTCCAAGCATTCCACACTGGGCTGTTCCCATTCACACTGCGACAGCTCGCTCGCTGTTTCTGGGCATGTCAAGTTAGAGGCAGCAACTGGTAAGCCATGGCTGCCACACAAATGACCTTTGAAGGAGCCACACTCTTCAACTGACCCGCTACTGTAGCCCATTGCTCTGCAAATAGCACTTGCAGCGCCGCGGCTCGCCCCGCAAACAGACCCAAATCCTGTCCGAATGCGGACCTCCAGTAGTCCTGCACTCGACAGGTTGCCCGATTCATCTATAAGTCTGACCTCGGGCATCGGTACGTTGAAGACAGGCATCCCAGAAAACGGAGACGCGTGAAGCCAGGAGCTCGCTGTGCCGCTACATTGCGTTGCTCAGCGTCGCGGGCGAGCATGTGCACATCGTGCACCAAACAATGTTCTTTAGCAATGCTTCGTAGCGAACAAGCCATGCCCAGGCTAAGGCGACTGATGGAATTCATGGCGAGGTGTACGGCCTTGCAATTATGCGCCAAGGCCTTCATACTTTGCCATCCCCCCCCCCCCAATCCAAAGGAACTGACGGCGTGTTGGCGCTTGAACTTTGCCAACTGAGTTGCTTGCGGTAAGCAGTTCATGCAAACATACAGCATGCCAGTTTGACAGTTCGCTCGCGCCTCCCTCACTTGCGCCTCCAATCGCAGCTGAAGAGTTGCTGCCCTTGGAACGCTGCGGCATCTCGATTGGCGGGCGTGGCTCATGCCAGGAAGCTAGCAGCAAACATTGAGCTGTTGGGGATGTTGACGAAGCTCTGATCTCCCCAACTCTGCATTACAAACCTGGCGCTGTTTTCCTTCAAAGTCCCAACTGCATCTAGCCATCTAGCTAGAGAGGCCTCTTTCAAACATGTGCTTTCTGCTTGATACACAAATATTCTGCGTTGTGTCGCAATCAGCCTGGAGCTGGGAGCCCAGCTTCCGCTGCTCTTGCTCGAAACAATCCTTCAGCAAGCATGCAGGCATCAAAGCAGGCGCCAATAGGAGAATAGGCGGGCTCGGTGTCCCTGCCTGCCAGGATTTCTGTTCACCCCGAAGCGCGTGCTCGGCCTGCGCAGTGTGCCCAACGCGCGCTGCCAAATGACCGTGCCCGCCTCCAGCTGGCGGCGCAGAGCGCACTGCTCCGCTACAAGCGTGGTGTTCTTGTCCGCCCTAAGTCGAAACACGTCCAACTTGGAATCAACGTGAATCAACGCTCAGTTTCAGAAAAATCGAGGCTGACACTCTTCTTTGAGCCGGGAGCTGAGCACTGAGACCTGGCCTTCTAGCACGTGGACCTCCGTATGGGCGCTTGGGGCATGGCACCGTGGCATCAAACACAGCGCCTGCGACTTGGCATCGTCAATCTCAGCTGTCTGGTCGGTGACCTGCGCCTTATGCGAAAACAAACGTGAGTTCAAGAGAATCCACAGCAAGCCCAGAGGCTAAGCGGCTAAGCATGCGACGTTGGCCTTGGCGAGCCGGTTCCGGAGCAGTTTGGCCTACGCAAAGTGTGCTCAGGTCTGAGATCCGCGGCGCATTTCAGATGAAGTTTCTGCCTGATGAGTGCAAAGCTCCAGTCCGTGCCTCGTCGGGGTCCAAGCATCGGGCCAATTCCTCCTGGAAATGCTCCAGCCGACGCCTCTGCTCCTACAGGTTCTCAGAACACAAGTGTAACATAAGCACATACTTGACACTTGCGCGGCCTGGCCTCCAACTGCTCATCCTTCATGTCTAATTGCTGGCGCTGATCCCGAATGGCCTTCAAAAGCTCCACCTCACCACTGCTCACGCAGGCAAAGCGAGCCAGGATTGTCAAACAGAGTCAGACATGCACAAACATGCATGCGCATCCGCGCGTACATGCACGCATGTATATATGTGATTCGGGCACGGACCTGTGCCCAGGCAATGGGCTAGTTGAAATAAACAAGCCACAAACGAAATGCCCCAAAACAGTAACCAATCCCCGGTCCCAAAGATCAGGGTTTCCCACACACCAGTGACCAAACAACCACAGTAAACAACCCAAAAGAGAAAGGGTTACCCGCGGCCTTGGCCGACAATGAACCGCACTGACAGCAGCCTGAGGTCTCTTTCTCCCCAAAGATCCCCTCGGTCGACGCAAGGGTCCGGCGACGCCCATTTGAGGCCGCGACGGAAACGAACAAACTTGAGCCAAATGTCAGGGCAGTCATCGCGACAGGCCTGATGACACCTGAACACATGGCTAATCACACACCCCTCACGGAGTCCGTCTCAAACGGGCGGAGCGTGCCGTTTACTGATCGGAATTAAAGCTCACATTCGTCCGCAAACAGCAGGACACAACCGCCATCAACGGTGGAGCCAACCCACATAGGCAGTTGCGCGACATCCCGGGCATTAAATTCCCACCACCACCCCGGATTAATCGGGGTAACGCTGTCCAAAATACCCAGTGAAAAGGCCCGCGTAATGACAATCGATCACTACTGTTTGCATCAGAGATGCAAGTTTTATTCTTATCAGAAACCATGTAGATGCTCAACAAAAGAATTGAATGATAGCCTTCTCGCCTATCGGCAAGATATGCTTCCTAACACGTACCAACCAAGCGAAATCAGATTAATCCACTCATCCACACCCTCTCTCACGCACTCAACTCCAGAGTGACCTTCACCAGCAGCGCTCAGCTGCGGTCCAGAAGCAACATGACCAACACGCCTCAGCAGTGCAGGAGGGGCATGACTATCGCCAGGAGCAGAGCATTCCTCCATGAGCTCCTGCTTGACCTCAAGCTTCATCTCGCTCTTTGGCTCCTCTTTCACCTCTGTTCTGCGTAGCCAAAGCACTGCTCTGCTCAGTCACTGGCCGTTCACGAGCGGCAGTGCGGGAGCAGACTTGTCCGCATCCTTTGCCGTCTCCAACCACGACTTCTCTCCACGCGGCGCTGCCAGCTCAACCTCCATAGGTGTGGGACCTGCATCAACCGCCGCCTTCGGAAGCAGCTTTGGGAGCACTCGGGCTAACGCCCTTGCCTGCCCTTTTCCTGACCGGGAAGCACCTGGGCTAACGCCCTTCCCTTCCTTTCCGCCTTTCTCACCGCCCTTTTCCTGGCCTGGAGCACTTCAACTTATAACGCCTCCCTTTCCACCTGACTTCCCTTTCCCTTTTTCCTTACCGGCAACTGGTCCACATCTACTCCCTCAGGCTTGGGCTGAGTCCCATTCTCACACGCTGCTCACCGACGTAGATGCGAGGGTCCGCCTCCATCGTGGGTGGGTCCGCCTTCCCTTCTTCCAGGGCGGCCTCCTTCCGAATTTTCAGCCATCAGCCTATGGCTGCCCACGATCTCCTCGGGTAGAGGGGAATCAGCGACCCAGCCGCTGCAGAAATCATGTGGACAGTGGGAATGTAAAACGACAAGCGCAAGTCGTGTCAGGTGAGCTTCCTAACGGAAGTCGTCATCCGCCGCCCCCATTGGCCTGAAGTAGTCCGTCACCGACTCAAACCTATCTGGTCGTCACGAACAACTTTGCCAGACGAACGTGTCCGAAGCCATGATCGCCGAGACATGACTGTGTTGAAACAGTACACGATTCATGTCATCCCATGCCCTCGTCACCGGCGGGGGGATCACTTTGATCGCAGTTTTTGGATCACTTTGGTCGCAGCTGAAATCCACTCACTTTGGTCGTAGTTTGAGCATTTGCGGATCACTTCTGTCGCAATTTTTGGATCACTTCAGGCGCAGTGGAAGATAGCTTTTTGAGCACTAACAACAGGACACACGCAAAGGGTGTTGCCTCTCAAACACCTAACAACAAGACATGCCGCGTGGGGTGGGGTCGACAAGGATGTTGCCTCTCAAACACCTAACAACAAGAACTGCCGGGTGGGGTGGGGTCGACAAGGATGTTGCCTCTCAAACACCTAACAGCAAGACATGCCGGGCGGGGTGGGGTCGACAAGGATGTTGCCTCTCAAACACCTAACAACAAGACATGCCGGGCGGGGTGGGGTCGACAAGGATGTTGCCTCTCAAACACCTAACAACAAGACATGCCGGGCGGGGCGGGGTCGACAAGGATGTTGCCTCTCAAACACCATAGTCAACGGCGAAGAAACTAGGACCGAAGCGAGTAAGGAAACTAGGACCGAAGCGAGATGAAAACTAGGACCGAAGCGAGCCAGCAACTAGGACCGAAGCGAACCCGCGACCCTCGTCACCCTCGGCCGCGGAGATGTACGGTGGCAACCTAATTCTGCCCTGCACCGTCATCCGCAAATCCGGGTTGAGACCATGGTCTTCTTGATGACAGCTACCTCTCCCGCCGGCCAAGCCCCGGGGCTGAACTGGTTCCAACTCGGCAGAATGGGAGAAGTATCCACCTCACCAGCCTCAGGGTTAGGGATGGACCCAGGGTAGAAAACTGGGAGCGCACACCCAGAACACAGATGCATCCCACACGGGATGATTTCCGCACACCTGACAAAGTGTCGCTAACCCCTTCTCGTCCGCTTGTGATTGCCCCTGTCGGGTGCAAAACTGCCATAGTCCCACGCGCGGTGATACAACATCGTGTAATCATCCAACATGTACGTGGCCTTCCATGCCCTGACCTGAATATCATCTGCACGAGGCCCTTGTCCGCTCTTCCGTCCTGGATCTGGTGGTACACATCTGGTCTAGTTATGAGGATCTAAACGAACACCATCCCGGTCTGGATTTGAGCCGCCCTGTGAAAGTGCTGGAACTTCATGATGATGGGATCTTGCCCCAATGCAGCTCATACATGAAGGG